GTATCGCGATAACTCGGATAATCGGACGAGTTCACCACACCTCTTCCAGTTCGCACCACAGGCTCCTCTGACTACCGAAGTGTGAAGTGGCAATGAGACGTTCACGTCTCATCGACGTATTCGACGTCAATGCGGACGCGGATGTGGAGCAGTCGGCTCCTCTTCCGGAATCGGAAGACGCGCACGACTCTCGACGGAACTATAAACAGACAAAATTATAAGGGGAACCCCTGGGCGATCTGCAGAGATTTTTTGGCAAGTCACCAAAAAATAAGACTTACCAAATCCAGCGAACCAGTCGAGTCCGGCGGATGTTCTTCCTGTCCACAAGCCGAATCATTCGATCTGAGCAGAACGCTGTCGAAGAGCTTATCGTTCTCGGCCAACATGTAGATCTGGTAAAGCGGTTGATCGGTGGGTAGGCGGCTGGTATACTGGCGAGTATAGTCCTCTTCTGGTGAAGGCTCATCCTGCAAAAGGAGAATCGTTAAAATTGTGAAGACAATGAATCAGCGATATAAAAAGTTTGTCCATAAAAAAGAAATGGGAAAAGAGTGCGCTAGCGTAAAATAATGGACAGGATAGGAAAGGGCTATTTTATTTTGCAAAATTTCAGCAAATTTTTGTGTGCCTAAAAAAAGCATAGGTAATAAGGGAAGGTAAGCAAGCAGGATCTTTTTCCGTAGAAATCGGAAAGTTTCGGTCATTTCACCCCTACGACTTTTAGATAATGTTTCGTTTTTATTCCTCTTTTTTTTTGTCTCAATCTGCAACTTTTGAAGACAAGTTCTGAAGTTCAGAACAAGGACTGCAGCAAACAGAAGTCGGACACATTTCGTTTATTTATTCTTTAGCAAAATGGTCAGGCGCTGAATTTTTTTGTTGTTGATTATTTTGATATTTAATTGATGATGTCACTAGCGGAGGCCATGATATGACCAGTCAACAAGGAAGTAAATAATGAAATGCTAAATTTGAGACCAGTTTTTTTTTGTTTAAATTTTACAAAGCAAACAAGAAAGGCTTCCTAGCATGTCGAGCAAGCCAATACTGAATGATATGAGAAAGCCTATGAATTATAATGAGAAGGTAAGCACTGAATACTAGGAAGCTGGGTTTGATCTAAACTAGCTGATCTAGATGGAAATAAGCATTTGGAGACGGGAAAAAGAGAGGGAAGGAAGCAAGAAGAAGGAGGAAAAGGTGTAATGGCAAAAGGAAAGATAGTGAATAAATATATGCAAAGCGTCTACTAAGCCATGTAATTGTAAACAAAAATTTCTCAACAATTCGAGATAAAATTTCTTTTATTTGCTTTCTATAAGACTCGAAGGTCATACAAAATCGGCTGCATGTCATCAAAACATTTGGACATTGAGAGTGAAAGAAAAGAAAGAAGAAACAATTACTTGAACATCTATTCAAAATCGGAATCTGAAGGTATGTGGCACAAGCGTTGACCCAATTGATTAATGTTAAGAAAATAAGTTGAAGTTTCTTTTATAATTACCTTAGTTTCGCCTAATAAACGGCAGCTCGATAATCTGAAGTGCATAACGAGGATGCAAGAATAGATACTGCTGGAGTAGCAATGAAGGAAGAATCCAAAAACCAAATAAATTCGACAAAGATATGAGGCATTTACTAGTCATCCAAGCATACATAAAGCTGATTTGCAACATACACGAGAAGTAGAGGGAGAAACTAGACAAAGACTAGTAGAACTTGATGAAGCAGCAAAAACCATCGTAACAGTCAAACGCAAAAGCAACCAAATAAACCAAATAAACCAAATAAAAAGAAAAAAGCAACCGAGTTATAGTTTAGCATCCCGTATTCGCACTTGAAGTTTATCAATCTTGTGTTTGGCTTTTTTGTACAAAATCGAATTTTCTAGGTGCGAGATGGGAGGAGATAGAATTTCAGCCACATGGCCACCCTGAAACAATGGTGCTAGTCCGTGTAAAAAATTCTTCTTTTGGCTAAGCTATTAAACACAAAAACTCGCACTTCTATGAGCTCCAAAGCAGAAAGCAGTAGTGTAATACCAAAAAATGAAAAGAAAACACTTGAGCCAGTAGTTTTCAATGAAGAAGGCAGGAACATAGGTTCTTTGGGAAAGATGTAAGTGTTCGGGGAGCGTAAAAACCAAATCACAAGGACGGTGAAAATCGATTAAGTAAAAATCAAGCATTAATTACATCTGAGAATTAATAAGTGTACGATGATGTACTGATGAGAAAGTATTGAGGAGAGAAATGGGAAAGGGAGCGAGATCAACAGCAGCTGAAGGGAAATCTGTGAAAAATTCTGCAGAATTCGTCTGATGTAATAGATTTTGAAAAAAGGCCGAAATTTCTGCAGAACGGATGGGAGAGAAGAGAAGAAATTGACGTTCAATGTTGATTCATGTCACAATCATGAAATCATATGCAAAATATGTTTACACCCCTGGGGAGAACGCAAGGTAACAATCAATTCCAAATGTTTTTTTTT